ATATCTAGTAGCAGTAAAATCGTCATCTAACCCGCTATCTTCATCTGGTGAGAATTCTAGGCGTATGCCGGCCGCCATCGGCGTGCTGGCCGGGTTGACCTTGTCCATTCCAAAATCCTCAAGGATCTCATCGATATAACGGTTCTGGGTAACCGCTAGGTCGCCGTTCATTTGACGTTTGACTTCCATTCCAAGGTAGGGCTTGTTCTCTTCGACATCCTTTGTCTCAAACCTTTTAGCAATCTCTGCCAATATCCAGTCTAATTGCTGCTCTTGGGGTCCCGTTACCCGACAGTCATCGACGTGCAATGTCAGGTAGATCTTGCGAATAGGGTGATATAAGAATCCGCCATCGTACGGCGAGATTTTGAATCCTAGAGTGGTGAGGTGTTCCGTCGCAAGGAAATACCACACCCTCGCTGCTTGCTTCATCCCGTAAAGGCTCTGGCGGAGCAGGCCAACCAGGCCCCCCCTGCCGTGCTTAATCCCTGTAGGCAGTTGCATATATACCATCTCGTGCTGCGGTAGTATGCCGTTCAAGAACGCGGAGACGTAGTCGATCGCCTTTGCCTTCCACCCCTTTGCCGTTGAGATTGCGAATAAGCTCCGTGACGTGGGTCCTGATACCACCGCGGCGTACGACTTTGTATAGTGGACTCCTTGTTGTTGGAGGAATCCCCTAACCACCCAGCGAGCTCTAAACCGGATTGTTTCTCCCTTATTGTTCAACTTGCGATCAAACACCCATTTACCAGTTAAGATATCCATGCCTGGGGTCTTCTCAACGACAATATATGTCTGCTTGTTCTCAAACATGCTGACCTCTTTCTTCATCGCCTCATACCAGTAGTCCCAATCAGGGCTCCTTTTGGCTTCCGCCACGGTAGTTGGGCGGTCAGTTAGGGTGCTCAGGACAGGATCGTCCTCATTGGCAGGGTCTTCTGGTTCATCATTCTCGACAAGTTCTGTCTCATTATCTAGAAGGTATGTTGGATCTATCGCACCTTCAAGATCCCCATTGGCAATCATCTTCAAAACGTCAGGTTTCACCTTTGCTAGGAAGTCGCAGGAGGCAGTGTTGCCACCCATCAGCAGCATCCCAGTACGTCCAATTCTTCTGGTAATTCGCT